AAAAAAAGATGTATTATTTTGACACTATTTGGAAGACGGCTTAACTGGAGTAGTACAAACTATAGTAATCTATGTGGAATGTGTTGAGCAATAAAGTACGAGTGCCAGCTTTCTAGCCTTGGCAAGTAGGTGGAGAATGATAGCTTTCCCTAGGAAAGTAAACAGCGGGGCAAAGGTTAGTTTAGTTCTTAACTTAATGATCAGGAGATGTATTTTAGATTTAAGAAACATCAGCATTAGAAGACAGATGAATTGGTGAAAAATATTCCTGCCCAGTGTAACTATGTGATGTGAAGGAAGAAGAGGAACTCAGTGGATCTAACAAACAGCACTGATGAGGAACAGCTAGACATAGCAGGATAACCAAGAATATATGGCTCCCCAGAAACAAAGATAGAAGGATCAATGGCGGGGCGGTATCAGATAGAGGCCCAAGTGAATCTGCCGAATTTGATCATTTGAACTCCAGGGTTACCCTAAGTCCAGATTTAGTTTTATCATGGAGACAAGCTTTGTTGCAGACAGTTGAAGATTAAAGGATTCAGATATATGGATCACAGTTGTGTGCTGTTTGTCAAGGAGTTTAGCTTTTAACGAAGCTTAAGGATGTAATGGAATCAGAGGGAGGATTTTAGTTGGTTTGTTTGCTGTTTGTTTCTGTACTAAAATAGAAGGGTCTGTGCTTCTAGCCTGTGAGGAAATAGCCAGTAGGAATTTGAAAGTACCATTTGTTTTTTGTCTTGAAGCACTGTCTACCCTATCACCCAAGCTGAGTGCAGTGGCATAGTCACGGCTCAGTGCAGTCTTGACCTTCTGGGCTTAAGCAGTTCTCCTGCCTCAGCCTCCTGGGTAGCTGAGACCACAGGTGCGCACTGCCACGCCCAGCTAATTTTTTTATTTTTATTTTTGTAGAGATGAGATCTTACTATGTTGCCTAGGCTGGTTTTGAACTCTTGGACTCAAGTGATCCTCTGCCTCAGCCCCCCAAAGTGTTGGGATTATAGGCATGAGCCATTGTGCCTGACCTGAAAGTAGAATTTGGAAGAACTTTAAGGATATCCCTAAGAGGACAGAGGGATGAATCTTAAACAGAATGCTCCTCTTCCTGTGACCCTAGAAGTAAAGACATGAGGATAGGTACGAGAGGTGCATTCTTTTATAAGTTTGGAAATGAGAAGTTCAGGGGTTTAAGATCAAAATTTTCTCTGTGAAGCAAGGCAGTGAACTAAGAGAAAAACAGGTAAAGGTTTTGAGAAAAACAAGATGCATTGAGATAAATTGCTTTACCCTAAGGAACATTGCTGGATAATTGGTTTGAGCCAGGACTAGATCTTAATTTTAAAATTCACGTGAAGGAATCATATCAGTAATCTATGAACCACCAGTCCTTGGCACCTATCAGAGGTTCAAAAATCTTGATTAAATATTACCCAAAAGACTTTACAGTGACTGATTCAAATTTGAATACTGATTTTAGCTAAAGTAATAATAATGAACTGGTTTGGGGGTAAGATTTTCTGGCATCTTATTGCTGTAGAAATTTTTCTTTAACAATTACAGTGTTTTCTTCCAAATCCCTCACATCTCTATCCTGGCTTGTAAAGAAAACACCTGAGGGCCAAGAGGTCGTATTTGAATTGCTGTTTATAATATCATAGGCTACTCATTGCTTTGACTTTACTAAGCTAGAAATCACAAGTAGCATAAGCTACTCTTAATATTTATATTATGAGAATGTAAAAGATATCTGACTTCAGATATCTTGAATGCACTTTGGCTCAAGTTTTCTGTGTAGCTTTTTCTTTGATACTGGTATTTTAATTTTTACAACAGATACATGATTTACAAAAAAAGTTTCCTGGGTATTATTGATTTTTTTTTCTAATGCCACCAGAACTGCCATCAGATTAAAATATTATCTGCCTTATTGTTCAGATTAGTAGAAAAATATAACAACTGTCTGGGAGAGACATGAATTTGTGAACTTTTAAGTATGTAGACAGCGTTAACATTCTCTTGGTTATAATTTAAAACCAGCTTGAGGTGTCTTCACAGCTTGAAACTTCATAAACAATTCTACTTCAGATGAATGTAGCATGTAATCTAAAATTAGCTAAAAGGTTAGACTTGTAAGTACTATAATATGTATAAATGAGTACTATATCTCCCCCAAAGCTTTTAAATTTTAATCACTAAAAGAGAAACTAATTGTCTGCTTTCTTAATATTGTGCATTCTATTTTGTGTTTAGAGCAGCAAGTTTTTTAACATGAAAATTAACCCCCTTCTAAAGAATTAGTATTTGCATAATTTGCTTATCTGTTTATATCCTAAAAGAGTAGGCAAAACAGTTTTGTGACTAACTTGGCAGAAGTTCCAGGTGATTTTTTTTTCTTTACTATGAATTATATTAAATTTTTATACTTTTAGTTTTCTCCAATATGGAGGTATTAAACTGACTTTGGCAGACTGTGGTTTTTGCATGAAGCAAACAGAAAAGTGTGTTGTGAAAAGAGGGTAGATTGGCGCAGGGTAGACTATCTTAACCAACCTTTCTGTTGTTGTAAAATTATTAAGCAATTCTTTTCCACAGCATATATTTCAAAAATAGATATTGCTTCACTCTATTTAATGGTTATTATTCTTTTTCTTCCTCTAAATGAAGTAATAAATATGTACAAGCTAGCCTTGAAAATGCTTTAAGTTCTCATTTCAAATAAAATTGCTAATAATAACAATAATGATTAACAGTTACCCCAGACCTTAGAAATTAAGTTATCTGCTCTGTTACGTTGCTACTCTCATTACTTTATGGACATTTGAATAGTTTGTAAAAAAAATAGTCAAGAAAGATCAGAATTATAAAAATGTTTAGGAAGAACTTATACATTATGGGTTTTTTTTAATTTTGTTTTAAAAGAATGGCAAGTCTTTTTATTTTAACAGAGGCATTTAAATATCCTATGTTAGTTTTCCTGGTATTTTTTGGTTTTAGCACAAATTTCTGAAGAGGAAGACTATAAATGGCTATTGTGTGTATATATCTATATCTATATCCATATCTATATATGGATAATGTAGGTGTATGTATGTGCATATATGTGTATATATCTTCATTTCCCCAGCATATGCCTGTTTGCAGCAGATTTTTAAATGCATTATTTGACATTTAAGATAAAAATGTTCAAGAACAAAAAAGTAAAACTGAGAAACGATTCCAAAAAGAAGTGAATGAAATAATTGATAACTATGTTCTTTTCCATTTGAAAGCACAGAACTCAGAAAAATTGACCACATCATCATACTACATTATAAATACCTAACTACCCTTACTTCTAGTGATGTTAATAATAATTAATATAACATCTTATTTATATACTACTATATTGTTTGCCCTTGCCAATATATTCTGTTTAATCTATTTCTTATTTAATATTTAGTGCTTTTTGGTTCACATATGAATAGCACTTTGTGATACCAATTTATCATTATTGCTTTCCTGGCACATTCCCATTGAAGCATAAATATTATTTTTCTTATCTCCATTTAAAGATGGAAAATGAAGCTCAAAAATGTTAAATGAGTTTGTTGTTTTAGGTATTGTAGATCAAAATAGTCAATTTTGATCTGTGTTCAGTGGATTTTGATAGAATTTTTAAAGCTGGATAATATTTTAGGACTGATGTGGTATTTGACCCCTCCAACTACTTTGGAAAATACTTTTATTTTTTAATGAAATGGCATAATATTTTAGGTACTTTAGAACTATATTAACATATGGTCTTAATTGACTTTCTCACCAAATTTGCTATCTCTTCGCTCTGAGAGAAAAACCTAAACTGAGATACACTGTTTATTATCACTATTTAAAAACAAAAAATAGAAAAAAAAATCACAAACATGGAAATGGTGAATCAGATAAAGGGCATGTAACCAGAGCCCTGTATTATCTTATACAGAACATCACAAGGGAATTTTTAAATACTTGCACAGTAGAAGTCCTCTGTATGGTTTTCATTATTTAAACAAAAAATGGGAAAGAGGCTCTTTTAATATGGTAATATTTTTATGCCATAAATTATTATTTTGTTAATTTATAGATTACATTTTTTAGGTGGATTAGAAAACCAGACTATCAATTTCCCCAAAATAGGTCACATTTTGTTGCACTTCTTGAAAGTAATAAAGCAGATATAAGGAATGATTTGTTAATAATTTAAAAAATATTTTTTTTCTGAAACTAATTCTGATTGACAAGATGAATTTATTTATAAACATTTTAGGCTTTTTTAATGAACTATTCTTTAGTTTCCTACAAGAGCTGTAGTTATAAAGTGTCGTTTATTGCTCATTTCATTTCTGTGAGGCTAGTGTGCACTCAGATAATCATACTACGTTTATATGTTCTATAACATTGTATTTACTTACAGAAATTTTGCTTGATTGTTATTTCAACGATATGCTTAAACAGTATCCTAAGAATAAGGTGTTTTGATGCAATGGAAACTATTTCACATGCAAGTTAGGTTACAGCTGTGTTATCTGTGTCACCATGATGTATATAAACATGAGTAGTACAGGTGTTTTCTGTGTATCTCTGAAAAGGAAGTACATGCTATTTCACTAAAATGCTAGAGAGATGTGAATGTGAAACATTTTCACTGTTTCTTAACTGAAACAATCAAGAAGTCATTTTTTGCATTTCTCTTTGCATAACTTAAGACCACTCTAAGTTATTAATAATGTCAGTTCCATGGTAAATTTTAGTAAGGCTGATTTATTTTCATATAGCTATGTTTTCATTACAGTTGTATTTTTTTTTCCTTGATGAAAATGACTCTCTTTTGTAAACTTTACAAACTAACCATGTAAAGCATGACCACTCCTTTTAACTTACAATGTGTCCTGGTTTGTATAATAAACAAATATTTCTCATCCAATTTTTGCATCAGTAATCCAGGAAATTACACTGTAGTTTCTGATTTGTTTTTCCTAATACAGGTCAACAAAAATCTCTCATTTACTTCACCACCAGCGGTTTCCTCACAACGGTCTAAGTTAAAGCCGTCAAACATGCTGACCACCCAAGAGATTCTACATCCGTTTGGTTTCACTCAGACCGGTGAGCCCCTTTCTTACTTTGGCAATTCTTTTAAATGTGCAGATGCTCATTTTGTTTGATGAATGTCACTTCCTTTTTTAGAAATAAAGCTTATAATTGTCGATTTTCACACTGGATGAATTCTATTCTGGCATCTCTTTTTTCCTTAAAATCACCAAACTTATTTCAAAAGTAAGTTTGTATCTGGTAACAGTAGATACATGAAACTATGTTCTATTAACAGATAATAATTTAAAACTAGCAAAACGTGAGTTTTAAGCCTGTATGATGTTAAATCTGATTCAGTTTCCCAATTAAATAAATAACCCATCATAGATGGATAATCCCATGTTATAATTCATTTCAAGGAAAGTCAAGGTAAAATACATTTTGGCGGAAATAGGATGCAGCCTGTGGTGATATCACATCCCATTAAAGGGCAGATTAACAAAATATGCAAAAAAAAAAAGCTTGTACAAAACTATACTGAATCACTAAAGTAAACTATACAATTGTTTGGCTAATGTTTTAAATGAGTTTGAATATGGTTTTCAAAGGACCTCCAAGGAAAAATATCTAAGTGAGAAATGTTTGTGGTATTGAAAGATGACTTTTTCTGGTCACTAGCTATATGTTTTTGACATTATTTTTTCTGTTACTGAATTATTTCAGAAAGGTAAGAAAGCTGGAAATAACAAAACAATTATCTTCCACAAAAATTATAAGAAGAAAATTTGAGTATGAGAAGATCAACATAATTTACTTAGAAATTTGGGGACAATATATACCACTTTTTTACCTTGAAAGTATTTGGAATTTACATATACAAGTTACTTTAATATTGCTGTATAGGTTACATGTTATAGTGAGAAAATACCTGGATTCACAATTCTTATGTTCAACCCGGGCTGTGCCGTTTATAACCCTTATTACCTGCAAACCTTAGACTCTTCATTTGAAAACTGAAAATGATGTTTATATTATATATTGTTGAAGTTTAAATGAGATAGCATATATGAAAACACTATAAGCATAAGGTGCTGTATGAATATAACATTTATATTGTAAACATGATGAATATGTATAAGCTAACTTTGAACTACTTTGAAATCTAATGTCAAATCACTATAATAATTAATAACAAATACCTCAAACCTTAGAAATTTTTAATTTCGAGGGTTGCAGATATCTTCCAGAAACTCAAAGTAATAGATTGGCCATTGTTATTTCCAGTGGAGCTGCATCATGTACTACCTCTTTAGACTTGTTCTTTTCACTCTAAATAGATGCTCGGCTTCAGAACTTGTCATTTTATGACTAGGAGGGAGGGAACCTCTCTCCACCACTCTATCCCTACCAACTATCTTGGAGCAAACTTTTCATTCCACAATCCAGGATTAAAGGCTTAGAAGGTAAATATCTGGTTGAGTTAATATACTGTTTAAAATTCATTTAAGCAGTATTGTATGTCTGGTTCTCCCAACAAGGTATAGATAATAGATATATAATATGTTTTTTTTCATTTTTTGTAAAGGGAAATAGCAGAGGGAATAGATAGGAAGGCCTTTGAAATGGGAAGAAGGATTACCACCCACTGAGACAGATAAGGAAAAAAGGGAAAGCTGGATATGATAAAGGCAAGCCTTTCAAACTTCACAGCTATACGTAGGATTGGCTCCATTTCCCTTCAGCTTCCATGGCCATGTGGGCCATAAGAGAGTTATTTATATACCTGCACATACTATCTCAGAAGCATGGCCATTAAACCATTTGGTTACTAATATGCCTAACCTCATTTTAAGGCATATCTTTCTTAGAAATGTCATTGAGATGTCACTGAACAGAAAAATTGCAAAAGCATAATATGTAGTCTACTTCAAAATGGCCAAATTAATCTCTTTTATTAAGAAGGCAGACTTTATGAAAAAAATCCTGCCTTAGGAACCAGGTGAGCTAATTTTCAGACCTAACTCTATTTCTAAATGTAGAATCTTGAGCAGTTTCTTCAGGCCAGAGTTTTCTTGTCCCTCCAGATAAATGAGGGCTCTGGCTTTGGTGAATTTCTGTCTTAAAAATTCTGTGGTTCTATTCAGTGTTCAAATCAGTTTGTAAAGTGGATAAATACTTAAATGTTGATTGTACAAATAATCTATTAGAATCTGAAATACATAACTACAGAAACAAATCATGTAAATAGAGTGTTTAAAAATAAAAATTTTACTGGAAACCTATCTGAAAGATGCAAGTCATGTCTATCAGTGTTTGCTTTGGACAGTATAAGAGAAAGCTATCTAAACAGAGCTAGTAAGTATGAGCCCAGTAGCGCTCATGCTAGGAGACTTAACAGTAGGAGTTGATTTTACATATGTAAGTGGGTTTACATGCTAGAGTGCTATACTCTCGAGTGGGTTTATGTTCTGTTGTAACTTCTATTGACCTTATTCAAGCTGAGTTCTAGATAATGGAGGCTACTAGAAAAGTAAACATTTCTCTCTTCTTTGGTTTGTGTTCCTCACAATTTCTAGAACACTTTATTTATTCATTCTAAAATCATTTTAAGTGACCACTTTGTTTAAGTCCCTCTTCTTAGCATATGGAGTAAATGTTAGAGTCTCTGCCTTCAGGAACCTCTAGTCTGGCTAGGGAGACAAATAAGTATGCAACAAATTAAGTCAGAATGTGACAAATTCTGAAATCACAGTATAAACAAAATGTCCCAAGAATAAAGAGGGATAGGAGAGCTAAAATATTCTCAAACTTTACCTATTCAAATAGAACTCTTAATTTTTTACCCCAAAAACCCTTCCCTCCACCTCCTTGTTCCCTGCTACCAAGTCTTCCTAATCCCAGTACTCCATAGCACCATTTACCTAGTTATTTAGGGATAACTTAACCGGGAGCCATTCTTTTTTTCTTTTTTTTTTTTTCTTTTGAGATGGAGTCTCACTCTGTTGCCCAGGCTGGAGTGCAGTGGCATGATCTCAGCTCACTGCAACCTCTGCCTCCTGGATTCAAGCAATTCTCTTGCCTCAGCCTCTCAAGTAGCTGGGACTGCAGGTGTGTACCAACACACCCAACTAATTTTTTGTATTTTTAGTAGAGACGGGGTTTCACTGTGTTAGCCAGGATGGTCTCGATCTCCTGACTTTTGTGATCCTCCTGCCTGGGCCTCCCAACATGCTAGGATTATAAGTGTGAGCCACTATGCCCGGCTGCCATTCTTGATTACTCCTTTTCTCTCAACTTCCTTCTTTCCCATTTGCCCATGCTGTATTTAGAGTTCAGCCAATCTTTCTTCCCAACTACAAAATCTCATTACAGTGGTTGCTGTACCTATTGCAGTAGCCCTGAATAAAGCCTTTCTTACTGTGCTTTCACAAGTATCATAGAATAATTTTTTTCTTTTAACAATACATACAAGAGTGCTTGACATGGCTAGGGAGTGGTTTGAGTCTTGGTTTAACTGGAAAAGGTGAGATGAATGTGTTTAAGGAGAACTAAGTTTGTAGAGGTAGATTGGGTCAGATCATACCACACTGACAAATTCACATTTTATTCTCTAGATCAGGGGTACCTACTTGCCCCACCCCCTGCCCCCACACCCCCAGGTGCACAGCAGGAGGTGAGTGGTGGGGCTGGGAGCATTACTACCTGAACTCTGCCTCCTGTCACATCAGAGACAGCATTAGATTCTGCTGTGAACTGCACATGTTAGGGATCTAGGTTGTGAGCTCCTCAGGAGGATCTAATGCCTGATCTGAGGTGGAATAGTTTCATCCTGAAACCTTTCCCTTTTCCTCATCCCCCGCCCCCAATCCATGGGAAAATTGTGTTCCATGAACCTGGTCCCTGGTGCCAAAAATGTTGGGCACTGCTGCTCTAGGTTAAGGAATTATTCAAGGAATAAATATAAAAGGGATATTCTAAAATGTATTTTTTCTTTGAATACAGCTGACATCTGTATGAGGAATAGGTTGCCAGAAAACTTGGATACAGCTCCTATGAGATGCTTATTTTAGGAACTGTTCATTAAGCTGTTACTCCAAGTTCTTAATAACAAATCAGCTAATCCTATAAAAATTAAAACTATAGCATCTTCCCTGAGTAATTTTTATAAGAAAGAAAATAATTTTAATATTTTTTGTTAAATTGTAGGGCATAGCCCATATAAATGCCTCACCATGTAGTAAACATTTTATATTTTATCTCAAAACTCTTTCCATACTTTCCTAGTGTAATGAAGAAAATCTATAAAACAATAACAGCAACTTGCATTTGTATAAAAATTTATAAAGCACTTTCATATATATCCTTATTTGATCCTCAACAAAACTCTCTGAAAAGTAGGGTAAACATGAAAGTCATAGGGAGTGAAATCATTTTAGAGCTTCTGAGACATTAAAACTTTTATTACTCAATTTCTGTACAGTGAAACTGAGAATCAGAGAGGCTGACTTAACTAGAATTCACATAGCTAGTGGCAGTCATGTCTAGTTCAGGACTGCTCATCCTCACCATACCAAACTGCCTATTCCTGGAGGAGGGTACAAGTTTAGGGAGGTGCGGTGGGCTCCCTGCTCACAGCCCTCAGGGAGACTGTGTGTAGAGCCACTCCTTCATTAGTTGTCCTGCCACATTGCCAAGTAAGCCCTCTGGCTAGTGGCTATTATCTCCCTTTTTTTTACTAGCTATAGAGTTCTAAGATATATTGCAAAATAATAATATGAACAGTAGCAACTCTTTGCTGTGGTTTTTGAGACTGAGGTGTCAAGGAGGACATCCTATGTTCTGAGGATTAATAAATTTACATCTGTCTTTGATCTTTAAATGTAATTCTGTTTGTCAGTTGTTAGATTTTTTAAGGCTGAATTTCCAGTAATTATGGTATGTAGTCTCTAGTCAAATCAACAGGCTCTGTACAGAGAAGTTTTATTCTGTGTTATTTTATCTAAAATCCGGATTACATTCAACCATCTGAAGAGTCCCTACTATAGAACAGGGGTGTCCAATCTTTTGGCTTA